TGGCACAGAGGAAGGGTTTGGGGAAAGCAGTGGTAGCCGTGGCACCCGCAGGGGTGGGAATATTGGCCTGGACACGTAGCTGAGCCTAAGAAATAGAAAGGACCAAGCCTGACGTACCGTGACACGCGTGGTTCTGCACAAACCGCACAGCGCCTGCCATTTACCCCAGCCTGTGCAAAGCTGGAGTTAGGGTCTCCGTGGGCCAGGTAGTCCTGGGTGTATCCTGAGCTTGGAAAGAGCAGGGACTTGAATCCAACTCCACCAGCCAAGCTGGGGCAGGGCTGGAGGCATGGAGAGACCTCAGTGCCTGCTGAATGCCACGTGCCAGCCTGGAGCCCACCATCCTGCCAGACACGGCTGAACCCAAAGCTCCGTGGGGCAGCAAAGCCCACCTGCAGCTCCCCACACATGTGTGGGTCCAGTTTCAGCAACAGGTTCTCCTGGAGTCCTCCGTGTCCAGCTGCCTCTTCCAGTGGTGGCATTTGCTCCCTGCTGGGCTCCCATCACTCATACCTTCCCCACGATGCTCCGAGGCCGAGCAACAGCACGTTGATTTTCAGGAGGCAGAGGAGCCTCTCTGGAATGTTGGCTACTGGCTGGGGGGAGCTTTGTGCCGAGGCAGGGCTGATGCTTGGTGCCAGTGTCCCGGGGGAGGGACAGAACCGCATGGGGAGCCACGAAGCCAGACAGGGAGGAGAAAGGGGTGCCAACATTAACTGGTTGGCAAAAGGTGGCAGCTGGAAATAAAAGGCTGCTACGTCCCCCCCCAGCTCCCTCGTGTGCCAAGGGCCCTCTCCACGGAGAGCCGGCAGCGGCATGACATTTACGTGCTGCACACCGAGATCCCAATTAGAGGTGGACGGCTCACATGCTGCACGCTGTAATTAATTGCCTTTCCCTGTTGGAGAAGAGCTTCTCTGACAGATTGGGGCTGAGCAGAGGGCAGCTGCTGCCCTGCCAGCAGCTCTGGTGGCAGGCAGGGGGGGTCAGCTTTGGCACTGGTAACGCCAGAAGGGAGATGTGGCCTGTGGACCCAGCTCTGACCTGATCCCTGCCCCCTCCTTCCCACCCAGCACAGCTCCTGGTCATCATGTAGAGTCGGGGTCCCAAGGACAGAGGGACAAGCGGGTCTCACCACATCACTGTGCCACCTGCCAGAGCTTTGGCACCCTGCCGTGGGACCCCAGGTGTCCCCCCGCCCAGGCAATGCTCACCAGCTGCTTTGGCCCCAGGCGCAGGGGAGCATCCACTGGCTGCTGCATGGCTCGCGCAGGTTAGCACGGCGGGGGAGTCATACAAAAGCCCCCTTCCAGGACAGCAACACCAACCATTGCCTCCTCCCGCTGCCTCAGGCTTCTGGCACCTTTTCTCTTCCTACCTAACCTAAATAATCTTGTGTCTTCATCTGTCCCCTTCCTCTTCCCGCTCATTAGGGCTTTTAGAGAACACTGGCTCCTACCCAACCTGGCCAACCCACCATTAACCTCTTTCCACACCAAGAACTGGCTGTTACTTTTGACTCCAATTCCCACCTCAAAGGGCTTCCATCTCCAGGAGGACTCTACCCCTCACCCTTGAGGTGACCAAGTTTCTTTAATAGCCTCTTGTGAGGGACTTTATCAAAAGCCTTTTGAAAGCTAAATAAAATTCTCTGTGCCATATTCCTTTTTTCCCCAGGATTCTGTTAGCACTTTTAAAGGCTCCTGAAAGGCTGAGAAAAGCTTTTGGTTTTTAAGATTGTTTCCTGCTCCTCGGCAGCGAAGCTCTCATTTTGCCTCCTAAATTGGGCCAGCAAGCACACACAGCCCTGGTTTGGTTTCCTCAGGCAGCTCTTGTTGAGTTTCCACGTTTGCTCCTGGCAGGGTGTCTGCCTCAGCGCCGTGTTACCAGACTGCAGCGAGCAGGGGAGCTGCGAGATTTGGGGAAGGAGAGCCGTGCCGCTGCTGTGCCTGTCCTGGACGTGGACAATCCCACCACCTCCTGTTCTGTGCAGGGCTCCAGGCCTCAGGGATTTGCTTGAGGGCACAGGTCAGCTCAGCCCTGCCTGAACCAACCAAGGCAGAACTGGATAGTCCAAGGCAGAGTTTTGTTCCACAAGAAGCATGGAAGGCACAATAAATAAATTACCTTGGGTCTGGGGGTGGGAAATGAGCCCATGGCAGAAGCGTGCTCAGTTTTCCCTCCCGTCTCCACTCTTCCCACCAACCCACCTCCCTCCATCAGGTCTCAGGCAGGGACAGAAACTGAGCTTGGCAGATTCCAGACCTGAAGCTCTAAAAAAGGCGCTGCTTTCTCTACGTACGAGCCCACCACCACCGAGAGCACCTGCCTAGTCGTGTGGCCACAGCAGGACATCTACAAAGCATGCCCGAGGCAGCATCTGCAGATTAAGCCCACCTACACCCACCCTGCCCACTGTTCCTGCTTAAAGCCTGTAGGAACACAGGAGTTGGGCTGCAGCCGTTTCCAGCCTTTAGCCCACCGCTACAAGGCGGGTTAGAACAAACGGCAAAGCCGCCTGCTCTGCCCAGGCCTCCATCCTTACCTCCTCTGGAAGAGTTTCTCCTACAAGCCGAATGAAAAGCTGCATTGGCGCTTCAGAGATGTCCCACGTCACTGCCAAAGACAGCAGCTGTGGTCTGCTCCTGCTCCCGCTGGAGCTCACTGTCTGCTCTGCCATCGTTTCCAGCGGGGACAGGACTGGACTCATGGGACACCCTCAGCAGGCCTCAGGCCTCCACACAGCAGCCAGGCTGGAGTGCCCAGCAATGGTGCATGCCAGGCCTCGGGGAATCTGCCAACACTCCAGTGAGGCATCCCAAAAGACCCTCCTCCAACCAGGATGGAAATGTTTCTGTAGGTAGCTCGGCTCTGGCTGTGGAAATGGACATCTCTAAGGGCTCTGCAACACATCTACCAAGAATGGGCCTCAACACTGTTCCAGGAATGTGCAGGGAGAGGGAAGAGGAGACGCCAGGCTGAGCTGAAGCAGTTTTTTTCCAGGCTCTGTTGCAGTTTGTTTTCAAGCAGAGCAGTAAACAGCCCTGCCTAGACCTGCACCGCCCTGTCTTCAGCTGAGACGCAGCTCCTCTGGCTCCCAAGTGCCAGCACATCCTCAGGCCACCCCAGACGAAGGCAATACAGGGATGCATGAAACCTTCCTCACCACACAAGGGAATCCCGTTTTTCAGGCTGTTCTCCTGTCAGATCAGGGATGTGGTTGGCTCAGGGCAGGTTTTAGAGCCTCATTAACACTCTGCAATGGGGCCTGGCAGCAGCTGATTTGATTTAAGGTTCATTTCCAGGCTGTGATTTAAGAGAAGATTTGCTTAATGTTCTCTAACAGACTCTTCTGACTGGGAGCTTGAGTGCTGCCTAATGACAGCCTTATTTATTGTAATGTCTTTGCAGCACAGAGTCTGGAGGAGCCGGGCAGGAGCGCCAGCAGGTGCTCAGACAGCAGGGGAAGCATCCCTCACGGCAGAGCGGCAGTAACGCTGGGGCGCGCATTCCTTCATCCGGGACAGCCAGGGACTGCACCTCCTTTCTGCTTCCAGAGGTCGCCAAGACAGACCTCTGCTTGCCTACGCCAGGCAGGGCTACATCTCTACGTACCTTTTTAAGTGGGGTAGGAGAAACACTCCTCTTTCTCCCTACTGCAGTACGCTGAAGTGCCTGCTCGTCTCCAGGCTGGTTAAAAGGCGATTTGCAATCAAGACTCCCAAATGCTCCTCCCTGTTTCCCAGTTTTGGGTTTCCAACTCAAAGGCTGAGCCTGCTTTCCTCCTGAGAAGGGGGTGCTCATCATCTGACATCTGGAAGTAACCTTGAGCTTCTGTGCAGGATGTACCCATCCCAAGGCCGAGCAGAGAGACAACCACCACACAAATGAAGACAGTAGGTCAAGCAAGGGTTTGTCATATTTTAATGACATGGATCTTTGGTGTTTCCCTCGTTAGCACTCACGCTCTCCCCGTCCTTCCTCCACAAGCCTGCTAGGGATGGAGAGTTACAAACGAAAAGGAAAATCACATTTGAGACTAAAAACAAAATATCAGAGTTTTGATTTCTCCACTAGAAACTACATGTACAAGGTCAAGAATTCACATGCAACACCTTACATCACAGACCCATACCTCACACCCTGGCCTGGAGCTGAAAGACGTTTCCTGCCCCCTGCCAAGGAGCTGCAGCTCACTCCTGGCACCATGAAACCACTGGGATGGCTCATGCACGTTCATATTGGCACAGCTTAGAACATCCTTGCATGAACCGCATCCTGACCAGACGGCAGTAGCCCCTGTCCCTCTACCCCTCTATACAGCAGCCCTGCTTAGGTTCCTGTCAAGTACTAAACTAACACTCTAAAAGGGAAAGATCCCCACCTGTGAGCAGATCCTGAGCCATGAAGCTTCTGGCAAAGCCCAGATCTTCCCAGAAAAGACCACAGCGCAGGCAGGACTGGTCTCAGAACACCACACTCTGAGGGGGAAGCAGTGCTGTGCCACGGAGCAGGACTGTGGCCTGGAAGATTCCTCCACTCCAGCAACACAGCTGGAGCATCACGCCCAGGTTTGCCCAGTAGGTCTGCCTGTCTCCAGAGGGATGCTGCAGGCCCCCTTCCCTTTCCTCACTCCACTGATGAGCCCCATGGCAGGAAAGAGGAAAGGAAAGAAGCTTTACAAAGGATGACACTGACAGAATTGCAGGGTTAGGCCTGAGCTCAGGGGATCCCATGGGGCTTCAAAACCTGCATGCTGTGCAGCCAGTACAGTTCATATTCCTGTTAAATCTTCAAGGAGTGGGAATGTTGGAAGTTAAGTATGCTTTCTTCTCCGTGGCTTCCCTTGCAGTCCACATCCCTTCCCACTCACCCAGAGTAAAGAAGCCTTCCAAACCACCTGTCAGAGCCACACATCCCTACTCTTCCAGCTCCCGGCCAGCTGTGAGGTACAGGTCTGCTGAGCAGTACAAGGGTAGCACCAACACACAACTCAATCTCTACCTGTTCCGCGACTCCCCACTGGTGCTGTCATTACTATAGAAGTTGGTACTGTCAGGAAGATGGTTATTATTAGTTAGGTCACTGTACTCAATTGGTCCCTCAGTGTCCATGGAGGACTGGGCCTGCTCTGGCAGGTCCAGAACACTAGCGCTCTGTCCTTCACTCCCGCTAAGGGCTGTCCGCAGGCTCAGGCCATGATCCGACAGCTGCATAGACTCTGAAAGGATCCGTCCCTCCAGCTCAGTTGCCAGCTGCTGTGAGGTGGACTGCTGTGCTGATGTGCCCTCAACCCCAGTGGACTCTGCGCCAGTCTGAGAGCTACGGTGGATTCGGTGGCTCACAATGATGTTGTTGCCAAAGCCGCCCATGGACGCCATGGTGGTGCTCTGTTCCCGCTGGACCACAGCCGTCATGCCACCTTCTGCCATCAGCCTTTGGATCCTGCTCAGGGCATCCTCCCCACTGGCCCCATACTCTGGGCCTTCACCTGCAAAAGAAAGCAGAAGCAACTTTGGCGCAGAAGGCAAACTACAACACAGGGAAAGCATGCTGGGTAAATGCATCACACAGTGCTCCTGTGCTGGGACAGAAGATGGGTTTGGTTCCAGAGGGAGCCCAATGTTTTATTTCCGAAACACCCCAGGCAGAGGACATGATGGCAATCTCCCCAGTATCAGGGAGGACACAGGCAGCTGGCCAAGAGCAGACAGCAGCTACAGAACACTGTCTGTGCTTCCACACCACCTGTGGTCAAGGAAAGATCAAGTGTGTAGGCTCCTACTTCCCTTGACTGACAGCTTTCGAGGAATGCAAAAACATCTCTTCAGACTTAGAGTCTCTGTCTACCCTATCTCCAAGCCTCCCCTCATAGTCAGGCTGTGCTGAGCTCTGAGGAAGCCATCATCAGCTCCCTTGGTTGCTGAAGATTACTTTTGAAGAACAAAATCTCCCAGAAAAAAATCATTCATATAGGAGGTTAAATCCCCATGGCAGGAGAGTCCAGCCCAGTTTTGTTTCCCAGCATCCTCCTTTTCCTACAACCCTTATCCAGACCGTTTGGGAAAAACAGACTGTAATCACAAACTGCTAGAATCATTCCACAGTGGGATCCTGACGATTCTTATTAAAGAGATAAATCTCACTCCCAGCTCCATGAAGCTATCGCAGTGCTGATTACAGGAGAGGAGAAAGCCATGATCTCTCCTGGCACCAAGGAAATGAACACAAATATCTACAGGGTGAGATGTAGGCAGGAGTTAAAACACAATAAACACCAAAATGCCACGCTGACTAGGAAGACAAATCCACTTGGGGCTGTGGAGTGGAGATCATGTATCCACCGTGAGAGCTGGGGTATTCAGCACGGACTACACCATGCCACTGTAGAGGCTATTTTTTTAAAAAGCAGGACAGTTAAACTGTTCACATGTTGTGCAGTCAGTCAGTGACAGCTTATTCCCTTCCCTCATGGGCTCAGTGGTACTTGCATCAAACACCACCAGCTTCCTCCACCACAGGGTATGGCTAATTTCATCTTCAATCAAGTCTGCTGACACACTGCCCTGCTGTAGGAATACTACGGACATTAAGGGCAAATCCAATTCTCGCGAGTAAGTCCCTTTCTGCTAGGAATGTAGTACGCCTGCTATATCCACTATATATACAGCAATTCCATAGCTCCTTGGTTAGAGCATCACTGAGACCACAGGGACACCAGTAACAACATGAAAATCTG